TGTCTTACTGGTGGGTATCTTTTTGTCTCAAACATTTAGGATGAATTATTTGTGATCTGGAATGTTAAATTCTCTTTTATCCCTTTAATAAAGTTCACAGAACCATCCCTTTTCCTTTAATGTGATTTTGGATTCTTGCCTGTATTGTGGAAAGACAGCCCAGCTTCCTATTGTTTCTCTGTCGATTTCCTTCTGTTTCTGAGCTGCCCATCTCACAGTGTATACATTGACCAGTAGAAATTCAGTGTGGCATTGCATATGCGTTCTTGCCCTGGGGTGGTAACCAAAGCGTTGTTTCTAGGGGGACAGCAAGAAGATGGAAGATGCTAGTGCTTACTTGACTCTTCCTTCTTACCGACATCATGTGGAAAACAAGGGAGCCACTTTGAGCTGGAGCTCCAGCAGTGTTGGAGGTCTCTCTGTTAGCTCCCGGGACGTGTTCTCCATTTCCACCCTGGTGTGCTCCACGAAGCTCACCCAGAATGGTAACAGAACCAGCGAAAGTCATGTCTGTGGTGCTTGTGCATATGAGCATAAAGCCCAGGGGAGGTCTGGTGTGGATGATTTAGTTAGTGACAGGAATTCTACTCCTGGACTCTTCTTCAGTGGGCTTGCTGGGTTTGTTGAAGTGGTGTGTGAAGCCTCAACTGCTACAGGAGAATTTAGAGAAGTTGAAGATTGTGGATGGAGAGGAAGTGGTGAAGGTCAGTGGGACTTTGTTTTGCTTATATTTGCCCCAGTGACAGAGCTGTAAATCCTGGGTGGCCCTGGGGAGGAGCAGTGCTGAAGGAGTGAGACGGTGTGACCTCTGACAATAACATGCTGCCCCAACCCATCATGAGGGACCTCTGTTGGGAAATCTAGGCGGGCACTGAACATTGGGCATTAGAAAAATCTGGTTGTACTTAGGCCCTGGAAATGAATCAACCTGGATATAGATCTTAGCTCTCCCACTTCCCAGCTTTATGTCATAATATTATGAATATGACACATATCTCAGGATTGTTAGGAGCCTTCAAAGTGATAATATTTTAAACTTACTCAGCCCTGTCTCTTATTCATAGTACATAATAA